AACCACCCTTCATTCCTGTAGTGCAAGCTAAGCTCTCCATCCTTCAATTTCGCGCAAACCTGCAGGTGGCCAATTCGGTTCTTGGGGCAGTTTAACGTAAAAGGGCTCGTACTGCCAGTTGCCGATCTGATGCTTTTCGATCGTACCTCTCCTTTGATTTCTCTTACCGCATCTCGACGTTTAGTCGCTGATCGGAAAAGAGTAGGTCTAGCTGGGTCTTAGGTCTTCTGCCGAACATCAATTCGCCTGGACTCATGCTTGTCATTTTACTTGGGTTAGGACGGTAAGTAAATAGTAATTTGTCCAACTTCATTCGGAGTGGAGCGGATGATTGGTACTGCAACCCGCTTCTTGCTATCTTGATTGGCTTTCCGCTAGTGTACTTGAGGCTTGGTCGTAAGAGACGGTCTTCACATGTATGATGCCGTTATTTGGTAGGAACTCTTGAAACTGCTGACTAATGAATACAGTGTCCTCTGTCACTGGTGAACGTGAAATGCAGAATGTGCTAAACTTGTTCACATGCAAGCAAAAGTCGGGTCGAAAGTGACCTGTGTCATCGGAAATACTTACATCAATTTGGAGTAGGCATCGACTAAAAAGAGAAACATCTTCCAATCAAGCGGAACCAAGTAGTCTGGATGTTTGCGCTCCTGCGGCTTATCAAGTAATTTTTATGAACTCAGTGACACCAGTGGGGCCTTTCCTTGTGTACTTTGACATGATTCGCTGTGCCTGATTAATCCTTGTACGCTGTATTAATAAAATGCCTGACCACCATCATAATATTGCGCAAGCACTTTCATATTGATGGTAGCTAGTTGATGTTCGTGCAGTTCCTCCAGCACATACTTTCGTAACTGAGGCGGTATATTAGCTCTGGACACAGAAAAGTGGCTTAGTTCTGTACGCCGGGTGAAATAAGGCAACAGTTCCGCGCCACATTTATCATGTCATTCTTGGAAGACCAATGGTTTAACTTTGCGGTGATGTGTCTCATGCTGTGTCACAAGACGGATGTCTACCTTCAACACAGGCTCACCGGTCAAGTACGGCCTTAAGTGGACTATTTAAGTCAGTTGCAATACGCAATCGGGCAAATAATTCAACGACATCCGGCGCAAGGCATCCGCAATGCCGTTTACTTTTCCAGGGACATTAGTGACAGCGTAATTGTAAACAGATAACCATAAGTCCCGGCGTTGCATATGGGGAGATGATATCTGGTTGGTGCCTTTGTGTTTATCAACTAAGGCTTATAATGTTTCATGACTGTAACGATTTCAAACATTCTTCCCCATAGATACTGGTGAAATCAATTTAAACTGAACTTAGCCGCGAACGCTTTCTCATCCAGTTTTGCGTAGTTTTTCTGCTGGAGTTGAGCTCCTAAAGGCAATGTCGATTGATCTACCAATTCACTCATCCATCTTGTAAGAAAGTAGGGCGCCGAGTACTCATGCCGAGGCACCACATCGGAGAGTAACGAACTTCATCGTATCAAAATGTACAGGCAGATTAGCGTTATTCATGGGCGACTTGACAGCGTTGGTTGAGTTTTGTTCTCTAACTGACCACTGGCACGGTATAGTTTCGTAATAAAGCGTGCAGCGGTTTATGGGTGGTGGACAGAGCAGGTACGAAGCGACCATAATGTGTCACAATACCAAGCACCGATTGCAACTCAATGATGTTGCGTTGTCTCGGAGAGTTGAAGATGGGCTGAAGTTTTTCCCTTCGCAGGTGCAAACTGTATGTATCCAGACAAAATCCGAGGTAGTAATCATTGTCTGTGAATAATATACATTTAGGTTCCTTTAGCTTGAGTCCGCTGTCTTGGGGACCATTCAAGTCCATCGCAATTGATGTCATATGTTCGCGATCAAAGTTGTCCGAAATAAGGACGTTATCTGAATAAGCGAATAGATCGGATATTCCTTTTATCAAATGATCAATGATCATCGAAATTATTGCCGCTGCAGAATGCATTTCAAATAGCTACTTGACGTATTTGCTTATACCTCATCCATCCGCAGGATAGCGTACTGTTCTGATGTTGCCGTTCGGTTATCAGTCAATTTGTATTCACCACAGTTAGAGACGGTAGCACCGGGTCGGGACAAAGATGAGTGATGTACTGGGGAGAACATTCCATCTTTTTGAATGCCCTCAAGCTCTAACTTAACTGTCAGAAGGATAGCAAATAGTAAACTAATACTTTGAGACATTTCGGCCGGGATTCGGTCTAAGGTTGTAAAATAAATTTAACATCACGTAATTTATCGGGTAATGTTTCGTCAAGCACACAATCGTACCTTTTCAACAATGAAGGAATATATTTAATATATATTCCACTTTTTTGACGCTTTGAAGTAGTTCTGGCCTGTGTTTGACCCAGTTTCTACCAAGGAATTTCGGCCATTTACATTGACACCAATTAAGGAAAGTATAAAATGTTGGCCCCACCGGTAACCTTTGCTTCACACGTCCTCAGTACAACGGGCGATTCGCTAGTATATGAAGTAAAATAGACTATGTAGAAGCCAGCTGCATGTTGGGCAGTGTACGATTGTTGACTATCGCAAGCGAAGCCAGCGTCTCGATTTCTAGGCACAAGGATTAGCCTTCAATCTCGTTCCACAGTGTATGAAGGTATTCCGCGCACACGTGACGTGGTAGTACGTAAAATCAAGTAGCGTATAAAATCGGAATTCTCCACGGTCCGTATAGTATTGGGTGAAGAGCAACATACAAGATGTGCTAGCAATGTTGAGTGGCAAACACGCGCAAGATGTCTGACCTGGCTGCACTCGCGACAATTGGATGTTTTGTGTCTAAGATCAGCTGAATTTTCACCTTTTTCACCACACCTGTAGCGCATAAATGAGCGTTTAATCTTCGGTGACAATCAAAGTTTGACCACGTTTAATACATCTGAATGTTACCATATTGGTAGTGAATGCACTTTCTGTTTGTTTCACTAATGTGAATGCGGCTTCCAAAATAAGCTTGCTCTCGTCTTCCGCCAGTAAACGTCCTCAGAACTTGTCGCTAATACCAACTAGAAGACACCTGATATATAAGACCTCTAAAATTTCGTGGACGAAATCACATTATAACATCAACCATGCAGGATATAAATTCGTTAACATCTCTGATTCCCTGCAGTAATTGGGAAAAATTTACTCGTGCAGTAAGCACACGTTTTTCTATGTCCCAATGCTCATCCGGAGACTACAGGCAATGTAACAAGGAAGTGTTTTCAAATAACCGTAACACATCAAAATGCCTCTGGCGCTCTGCACCTAAATCTTGTCTCAATAGATTAACAGCTGGATACTCTGTAATAGTGAGGTGAGGGTTTGTAATTCGGAAGAGTTCAAAGTAGTAACCTAATGTTCTCTACCATATAATCCAAACTGCAAGTGATATCTTGGAAGCAACTTCTTTCCAAAACGGATCCGGTGGAATAAGTTGATTCATAGCGCATAAGTCCAGATAAAGACGCCGTCGCCAACTTTAAAGTCCACACATGCGGAAATATCGCTAGTCTGTGAATGAAGTAATGTATGGTAGCCAAACAACTCAAGGACAACAGAACACAGCCAGCTGGCAGCACGTAAACTTGTATTCTGGGCAGATAGTATGCAGGGCATCAACCAAGTCAGTGAGGCAAAGCCACTGGTGGGTGCGTAAACGATAGACGGACATCCGCACACGGTCGTTGCTGGGTGTGAACATGGATTGATGGTGACTCATACTCCATAGTAACATTAAGGCTAGAGGGTATTTGAACCGATTGACTTTTACTTGTAATAAGTAAAGCTGCTGATTACACGATACTGAAGTAGCTTCTTTAGATAGCGAAGTGTTCGCGATATAAAAACTGTGAAGTAGAGACCTAAATCTAGTAGGCCGTTTCCTGGTAGATAATGTGGAGTAATAGGTAGCAGCAAAAGGAGGGAATTAGGGCGTTTATAATGCTTTCGCTTATGATGCTTTCGCAATATTTGCCACAAATACTTTTGGGACAGACTGAAGAATTCGCGATGGGAAAGCGGTGGGAGCTATGTAAATGATAATAAAAAAGTAATGGGATACAGTGATACCCAAAACGCTCGCAATCTCAAAATTTAAGCAAAGCAAAATTTGGACTTGGAATAAAAATGAAGGTCATCTACAGATAATTAAATCATATAAATAGTACCAAAAACACTCACATATTCGAAGTTCGCGCATTCTCTAGAGACACAGTATTTTTATTTTGGATTACTACATTGATTAAGCAACCAGACTACATTTTGTTAAACAGCTTTGTTTTGATTTTGTTAGCGGAATATCCAAATGCTGTTTTTATCCTGTAAATTTGATCTTGAGGAAAACTCTGACCTGATCCCGAATGATAAAAACGTTGTATATAGGACATTTACATTGGGTAGCCGAACGAGCGTAATGATAGCAGAAACTGTCATTTTCTGGTATTAATAGACTGTACATATACCATGAATTCAGAGATGAATTAGTGCGATATATTTTGCAATCAGCCGTGATTGACAAACTTGATTTCGTATACAGAGGACTAAGCTAATTCTTAATCAATAATTTACTGTGGAAATCGGTACCACAGCGTATTAAATTGGAAAGACCCAAAAGACTGAGACTCAGAATTTTTATTACATTCTAGTTAACTATTCAGTATTGAGTCACCCAGTTGCGTTACTTCAACCAGAATTCTACAATTTGCATAGTAATACATGATTCTAAAATAATTATTAGCATACTTTGTAAAAATATATGAATAATGTTATATAATGAGATTAAAGTCAATAGAACAGCGGTGGCATATAATGTTGGCCTCTTACTGAAAATGGACTTCAAAATTAGTGAATAACTTTGTCGAGAGAATAATGCTTTCTTCTCCAATCTTTCTTAGTTTCCGTCCTACTATAATTGGTGAAGCCTTACGGTAGATTTATCTGTGATGCTCTGACCACTTTCAGAAACATTTAAAGCCATGAATGTTTACAGCTGCAGTTTTGGAAATAGATCAAAAGTGATTGGTTTCCGGCACGAGATGGGAAATACCAAATTTATTCACCATGGGTAAGTCATCTGATAAGCTGTTAATTATGAAAGCTAACGGAATAATTCCGGGTGCTCATAGATTCAAAAATGCTTCATCACTGTCTCTATTTTTAGTTTCCATCTATATCTTGCTCTCTTTCCAAACAGTAGTACATCTAACAAACCCCATTTTCTGGAATTCAGCTGAGGGGTCTCCAAACCCAATATAATACTGGTCATAACCAAGGCCAAGACAAAGTTCAAGGCCAAAGCCATTAGCAATTTCATTACCCTTTCTAAAAAGACGTTACTAATGAAAGCAGTAAAATTATTACTATTATTGACCATAAAATATATGCCTCTGCCAACTGCAAGTAAAAATGCTGCCAACTGCGAGTATAAATGCTGCCAACGTTATTCAGTCCTGGTTACGTTGCCAAGGAATATTTCATTGGCACTATGGATTTGAGAGTGGTGCAGCCAGTGCTGTGCTACTGTCACACTCCAGCGTCACTAGCGCAGAATTAGATCACACACAAGGTTGCTGCATAACGTGTTTGCTGGATTTCCCACCGAATTCGTATTCAATCTGGTTGTCAGAAGGCACGCAGACACTGAATAATGTTAAATCCTTTTGTCTAATTTAGATAATGGCCAAAAATAAAGTTCAGCTAACATAGGTAAACAAACTCATACCTTGTATTTGATACCACGGATCAATATGAAGCTTGCGGTTGCGAAGAAAGGTAACCTCGTTTGAAGGCATAAACCGTGTTTGATGCAAAAAACAATTATCTCCTAATCTTGTGATGTATGACATTTCATTATCTAGATGCATTCCTAATTGCACAGTAGTTTCGAAACAGATGGCGTAAAAAATGAAACGACAGAATGTTCGTTTAAATTCTAAATGTTTGGCGAGCTCACCGGTTGTGTGCATTGCGCATGTTAGATCTCTGTGAGATCTAAATTTATCTCCTATCGAATTAGGTGTGGTGGACCCAACAGTTGAGCGCTTAGTTACGACGCTTGAGGAGCACAGAAGGCTGCTGCTTTTGTACCTTGCATGGTTAACAGCGTTTAGGTATTATTTTTTTGCAAGTAACCTATCAGCTAAATGTTTAGAAACTTATCATGACATGTAAATGATTGATAATGATAAAATTTTACTGTTCATGTAGGTCGAAAGGCAGCGTGAATATAAACTTATCGCAACAATTCAATAGATCAGTGAGTTGGAAGTCAGACAATAGAAATCAAGAAGCAACCTTCTTTGTTATTTTTACGACATTATCAACTCGACTTCAATCGTACATCTTAGGTATGTTTGGGTATCTGTCTCACTGCGACTACCGCAATTTCATTGATGACATATATAGCCCATCAAATTGCTGGTGTAGATCCATGAACTAATTTGCATACTGGAGGTCTGCGTTAGCTTGCTATGCTAGGTTCAAAGAAAAACACAGCAATTCTAATGAGCGGCTTGTTGATAATCGCTTTTTACATTATTATGAAGATGCACGCGTCATTGATTGTAATTTCCGAAAGTACTTGTTATTCAAGAAGAGGTTGCTTTCCACCTGAGTACCTTATCGTGCACAACTTTGGCCCTTCATCATAATCAATTATGAAACGTCCCTTGGATGTGTATGGGCGATTTTACCTACTCAAGCGACCAAAGTTTGCATGGAAAATTATCCAGCTCATAGAACGAAAAAAACATCCTCAAGAAACTATCTTTCAAATGAATTCAGTTCACATAAACTGATCGTGGTAGAACAAGCAAGCTATAGGTTTAGGAAAGGAATGATGAGACAAATTTGCTCGCGGGAATGTTGATTTTCGAGGAACAATAGATTGGATGAAGTTTAGTAAGTGACCGCATGTGTGCTATTACGCGTACTGCTTTTACCAGAACTAAAGTGTTAACTTTTCTACATATGGTGTCACTAAGTTAAAGTAGTTAACTTTTACAGCTTACGCGGGTTTTTATACGTTAGATAGACCACATGAATGACCATCTTACTCCATTAGTATAGCTAAAACTTTGCCTATTGAGCTGTTTACATGTGAACGCTTGTTATTCTGACTTTCGGTTAGTTAAATTATAAACAGTTAAACTGCATTTTAGCTCTCACTATCACTTTGCCACATCCATTCAGCCGACGGCTAAAGTCCTCGCAGAACAGGGGTATTTGGCTGACTAGTGCGCTTGCGAATAATCAATGTACATCAAGCGAGGCTTGGTTATTCACCTGAAAAATACCTCTATGCATCCAGTTGAGTCCGAATGCACACCACGAGTGGCATTTACTCTTTTTTTAGATCGATGGCGGAGAAACAGGAAACATCTTCATTCTGAAATTCGGTTAAAGGTTGCAAACGCTGTGCACAGCTCAAATATTAAAGCAACTGAAGTAGCAACCATACCGACGAAGGTACAGAAGCGTAACTTGACTGCTGCTTTAATTGACTCTGATGTAGGACTAAACGGAGGTTGGGACGCACCTTGGCCGAATCAGTTTGCAAACGTGGTATCATTATCCCAACAAAAAACGAGTAGCTGCCGACCTACCATCGGTCGGTATTCTCCCACACGTGACCCCTTCATCCCTCGGTGGGCTCCTTAAGATCGAGAAACTGAGCTACTTGTATACGAATGCTCAGGGACTTTCTAGCAAAATGGCCGAACTGAAAGATCGCCAAGCTTCCGGGTCACATGATATCGTTGGTATCACCGAGACGTGGTTGCACACGGGAATGACGGACGCTGAAGTGTCGCTACCAGGCATGTCGCTGATCCGGAACGACAGGCTCACAAAAGTGGAGGAGTAATCCTGTATAACTGAAACGACATACAGTGTGAAGCCGTGGAGGATTCAGACTCGCAGTTCCCCGACTCTCTTTGTTACCGGTTGCAGTTAAAAGGCAGGGACGCTTGCCTTATTGTTCTGGTGTACCGCGCCCCTAACTCAACACCCGAAACCGACTACCACCCAGCGGCTGCTTTAAGATGCAGTTTAGAACAAAAGTACACTCACATTCTTGTCATGAGTGATTTCAACGTACATTGTTTAGAAACTCCTTGCACGATCGGAACAAATTCAAAGCCGATCTACAAGATATTGCAACCACTATTCCGCTTTACAATCACATCACTTTGCCCACTCGGTTCAGAACAGATAACAGGCCATCTGTGCTGGATCTAGTGCTTATCAACAAGAATTATATGATTGATGTGTTGGTTTTAGACTGCCCGTTGGGTCGCAATGATCACGCAGCCATCAGTTTAAACTTCATTTGCTAAGCAGAATATCTGAATGAGAACGATGAGACTGTGTGAACCATTATAAACTACCATCGATTAGTCCAGCTCGTCAGCGCCACAACTTGGTCGTTCCTCGAAGAAGCACCCCCGAAAGTCGCCTGGCTAGAGTTCGTCAAAATGTACAGTCAGCTGATTGCAGAGGCTTCAGAGATAAAAGTTTGCTATAAATGTGAATCAATTTTTTTACGTTAAGAGCAGAACTCGAAAACGGATGACAGTAAGCAACGCATCATGGCGAGTGTACAGAGTAGCTACAACACAAGAAACTTAGGACAACTAAATAGCCCAATGTAACCACTGCACCCAACTGTTAAGGGAAGACAAAGCCACCTATCAGCAGGACATCGCAAAAACCTTCATTGCTAACCACAAACTGCTGTAAAAGCACTTTAATAGCCTGCGAAAGGTGAGGCAAGGATTTCCTCCACTCTCGACTGCTGGTGCCCCAACAAGAACGGCTGTGGAAGCAGCAAACGTGCTGCAGATACAATACGCTCCCACGTTTCGAAGGGTTTTGCCACCAAGCTTTGTCTTCTCCATGCCAGGACTAAACCACATCCCGTGTACCGCGGAGGCTGCATTGCAGAAGCTGACGTCACTACGCAAACACAGCTAGCCGGGTGCCAACACCGTTCGTCTAGAGGCACTGGAAGCAGCAGCAAGCAAACTGGCAGGACTTTTAGCTCAGTTTTTCCAGCGCTGCTTAGACCAGAACCAAGTTTCCGCCATGTGGAAGCTTGGAATAATAAGCCCGAATCACAAATTTGAAAGCAGAACTGATCCCTCCAACTACCGCCTAGTATCCATTCTTCCTATATTCTCTTAGGTCATGGAATACATAGTTGCCGATGCACTGGTGTGCTATTTGGAAAACTGTAACATCAGCACTCCTGAGCAGCACGGTTTCCGTCGACAGCGGTCATTTACAACGAATTTACTAATTGCACGCAGTAGTTGGACAGAGGCAGCTGACGCTAGAGAAGTTGTTGATGTGATCTAACTGGAATTTTCCAAAGGCTTTCGTTCGTCTAGATCATCGGATACTACTATCCAAGCTGCAGCATTACGGGATGGGCGACCCTCTTCTAAGCTGGATTGCCAACTTTCGACTTCAACAGCAATTAGTGCTCAGAGTTCCGAGCTCTTTATCGGACCCCATACAAGTGGAGTGTGGTGTGCCGCAAGGCTCAGTTCCAGGTCCACGTTTGTTTTTGGTGTTTATTAATGACCTTGCACAAGGTATCGCTTTAAACTTCCTATTGTCTGCGGACGGTATCAAGATTTGGCACAGGATCCAGGCGAACGCCGACCCAAATGTGCACCAGAGTGAACTAGATAAGGTGTATCAATGGTCGACCCAAAACTTATTGCATTTTAAAGTCAGCAAATGCAATGTGCTTTCTATCCGACATCAGGGCAGCTACTCATACCGGTTTGGAACGAGTATACTACAACAATCAACTCTCGAACATGACTTGGGTGTCCTGGTTCAAGATGAATTGGGTTGCTCCAGGCAATCCAAAAAGGCCTCAAAGACCGGGAACCAACACGTCGGGCTGTTGCGATGGGCGTTTGGACAAATAAACAGTTTCATATTTTTAAAAATGTTCAATGCGTATGTTCGCCCCCATGTCGAATACGCAATTAAAGCCTGGCATCCATGGCTGAAACACGACCTTAATGTACTGGACCAGCCACAAAGCCGAGC